ACAGCATGTGGGATATTTCCTCTTGACCAGGAATTCTTGTTCATAGTATGAATTTTTTTTTATAAAAATTTTGTTACATATTATAATATTGAGCTTATAAGGTTTTAATTTGTTCTGTCAGTTTGCAGGGTTTTGTGGAACTAATATGGCGATCCTTCTGCAGGCTCTTGTGAATTTATTTCAAAATGAGTCAACCTCTAGCAATTCTTGAGCGAATTAGCTAAAGATAAGTCTATAGTGTCAAAAAACAGCAAACAATGAGTTTTCTCATTTTTTTTTTAAGGATTTTAAAATACTATGCAATGTAAATTAAATGCATCTCAAATTCGATTGAGGAATATTTCACATTGTTTTGAAAAGCAAATTTTAAATAAGTATATCAATTAAAATTTGTAAAGTTAATGCAAAGAAATAGGGTCTTTAATAAATGCTTGCAATTTTCAGGCTAATTGTATATCGCTAAGAGTAAAATTTTCATAGTTGTTTTTACAGAATATCCATAATATGTTAATAATATACAATATGGATTCATGTTTGAATTATGTATTGTATAATATTAAAAAGATTAATAAAAAATACCACTCCTAGCTACGCCGATTACAAGATTATTGACGAAAAAGGAACCTTTTAAATTAAATTGCTATATAATATTTTTGTGTCCTGCTGCGTGTTCCATCGATTTGTTATATCATAGAAAAATTTGTTGACGAACACTGTGTTGAAATTTTCAATTTGACAATGGGGGCCAAGTTCTTACAAATGATATTGATTTAACATGGAAAAGCCACACAAATTATTTAAGGTGGTTTGTAAACTAAAGCAGCTCATTCCAGGAAAATAAGATTTACTGCACATTTCTCTCATGCGGATAGTTTCTCACAAATATGCAACTGCTAATTGTTGCGACTTCACGGTAAAAATAAGAAAAAAAAATGTGGATCAATAGAAAGTTGCACATAATAATTCTTTTTACAAAGTAAATCGCTTTCCCTTTATTTATTTTGCAGGGGCATGGTGCATCAAGCTTCCCAATTACGATAATTATCTAATTACATCTGTCTACCATTGACCATAACATATCTCTGCTTGCTAAAGAAACAAAAATATTGCCAGGTGCCAGGAAACACTTTGCCTATAGTACGTAATTTTTATTTATCGACATTTAAGTTTCTATGCAAGAAAGAAATTAATGTCACTTTGTAAAATCGTTATGCGACGCCACAATCCATTTATGTGTGTTACGGGGCAACTAAATTTCCCAATTTTCTTATCACTGCTGACCAATCATGGGAAACGAAAATAATGATATGATTTTGTAGTAAAAATAATGACCAGGCAAATGTTAGTCTAGAGACAATATTGGTCGGCACCATGAACTTTCAGTTTGTTCTCCTCAGAATTTCATTTGCGGCACTTCTGAATTTCAGAAACGGACGTTTTGTGCCACATTCACGATTACTGCAAATTGTGATTGTCTGTGTCATAATTATTTTCTGTACACCTTCGGTTTTCCGCATTGTAGGAATGTTCGAAATCTACAGCTCAGTAGGATTCCCACCTTCAAAATTAATCGGTCTTTTTGGCAAAGTGATGTATACTGTTTTAGTTTGCACATTTTTACATATCATGTTGCGCAAAAGGATAATTTTGGCTTCGGCCTTGAATTGTCTATTAAAGAATTGGAAAAAGTTGGAATCACCGAGAAATATTAAACTTGAATTCGGCATTATTTTTTATATGATTGTAATATTTGTAAATAACTTTTACTATTCGTTCATTTTAAAAAATACGGACACGTTCAAAAGTTTGGATTCCTTCTTGATTGATATCTTAATCGTGTGCTTTTTGTGCCAAATTAATTTATTCGTCAACTGCGTTAATTTAACAATTAAAAATATCAATATTTTAATTCCAAAATATTCTAACCAAAACATTGCATCTTTAATGCGAGCGATGTTTGAAATTTGTGATGCATGTGATCTGTTCCAAGAAATTTACGGATTTTACTTGTTGGCAAATCTAACCGACCGTGCACTTTATTCAACTTACAACGTTTACAAAATTACTGAAAATCTGATGCTGAGCTTGGACGGACCAGAGGCAAAATACGATGTTATCAGCAGAGTTTGCTACATAAGCGTTTGGTTTTCTTTGGATATATTTGTGGTTTTTTACATGGCATCAGGTTGTTACCACGTTGAAAAAGAGGTGGCCTAAACATGCTTTTCAAAATTTGAATTTGATAACTTTTTATTTTTACAGTCGCGCAAAATAGGAATAGCTCTCAATAAAGCTGCCGTTCACATGACAAATCAAAAGGATTCATTGAATGTAAGATTTATAATTAAACTTTAAATAAAATAATAAGAAAAAGGTTTCATTCCAGCTTTTATATTATGCGACGGAAATGAACTCGAGGGTGATTACATTCACAGCTTGTGGAGTATTCCCGGTTAACTTCCATTGCGTGTTGGCCGTGAGTAATTTCGAAAGTGAAATTTACGATGTTTAATTATTCTCTCACAGTTTTCAGCTTCAACAGTCACAAATTTGGCAATCATTTTTCAATCAGTGAGAGCGGATCGTCAGTCCAATTAATCGCGGTGTAATGATAAAAGCAAAAACAATGTTTAAAATATTTCATCAGTATAAAAAAAAAATTGTTAAAAATTAAATATTTCCTTATGAATGAATACAAAACTAATTTGTATTTTGAGATTCCTCTCATAAATAAAAAAAGAATCCTCATTTTCAAATAAACCAGCACAAATCTTTGGAGCTTCAAATCTGGCTTTTCCGATTTTCCTTGTCACAGGCGTAAATGGGCAGCAAATTACATACATTGTGTGGGTCAAAGGCGTCCTTTCTTTTCCATTTCTCGGAAAATTTGATTTCTTGCGGTATAGTTTGAGGAAAGTTTGAGGAGCGGCTTTGTGTGGACCTTTGCTTAAAGAATTTGTGCAATTTTCCTCGGCGGAGGCGACAACATCGAGCCGCACTGACCTCCATCGGGCCATCCTATGGCTCTCATTCCGCGATCCCGAGGGAACTGTACGACTGGATCATTTTGCTGCACTAACCCAATAACACATAACACCACGTATGTATCTATATCTGAAATACTAAACCGAACGTCTTTCCATCTCTCGTAGCCTCGCACCAGAAATGTGCAGAAACCGGTCCTAGCAGACTGATCCAGACTCCCAGCGCAGAGAGAGAGAAAGGAAAACGAAAATAAAAACAAAGGAAGGCGCTTACATATTTTCAGGACTTAAAAGACTTTCACAGACTTTTTTTTGCCTCGAGAGAGGCCATCTGTGCCGGCGAATTGATGCGACACGGCGAACCAAAGAAATGAGCCCGGCGCGCGTTTATAAAATTCAGAATCGCGATTTTTCCCTACCTTGTGGGCTAAGCGATAGTCCCTGGTCCGATTGGGGTCATCAGCAGGTCGGCGATGTCCTCCGTCGGGTCAAATTCGGCGAGATACGGGCTGCCGAGCCTGCCGATGCACGAAGAGGCGACTTTTGTCTTTTGTTAATTTTGCACACCTTGTTACTTTCCCTTCTCCCTCCATCCTGCTGGAGTTGGCTGCTGCTGCTTGGTGCTGGAATAAGACGAGAGCGTACGTCTCTCATCCCTGTCCTGACTTGTTCGCTCTCGTCTTCCAGCACCAAGCAGCAGCAGCCAACTCCAGCAGGATGGAGGGAGAAGGGAAAGAAACAAGGTGTGCAAAATTAACAAAAGACACAAAAGTCGCCTCTTCGTGCATCGGCGGGCTCGGCAGCCCGTATCTCGCCGAATTTGACCCGACGGAGGACTTCGCCGACCTGCCGATGACCCCCTAGCGGACCAGGGACTATATCGCCATCCTCCCAAGGTAGGGTTAAACCGCGATTCTAATTATTCTAATATTATTTAAGCTTAAGCGGCGGGCTCCTTTATTTTGCTCGCTGTGTCGAATCGGTTTGCTGGCACACGTGGCCCTTCTCACGCTTCTGCATGACGAGGCTTCTGAAAATGGTTCAAAATTGAGCGTAAATTTTGAGATTAAATAGTGATTATTGGTTGACGTACTCAATTGCATCACCATAAAATTCAGTGTACTCAGCACTTAAGTCTGCACTCAGCTTTTGTCAACAAGAATTATTACTCTGCAAATACAATTATGATGATGATAAGTATAGTGTAAATTACCGCTTATTGCATTATTGCGTTACTAAAAATATTTTATTGCACCAATTTTTTTCCGGTGCTTTGTTCATAGTTACAAATAATATCCGGCCTGAATTTTAATTCAACTGCGATAATTAAAACGCAAATTCAAAATAAACAGCGAATTCAGTACAAGCACGCAAGGACAAATCGAAATTGAACGCAGTCAGATGGATGTTTCCTGATGACAAAGCATTCGATCTGGAGCTTGATTGCTCATACAAGTCATACAACCTCCTACGCTCCATCGAGTATGTAGCTTCAATAATTATTCTCTTCTCTCTGGCGACGATATCGCGAAAATTATTAACCAACTTTCTGACTCGGCAAACAAGAATATCCAAACTTTTCCGCTCAAAAGCTTAATACGCCGCCAAAGCAAGGAAAGTTTCGGCTCGGGTTGAATGGACAAAAATGCCTCTTCTTAATTAAATTCTTTTGTCAGGCGACCTCAAGGAAAGGCGGTGTTTGTAAAGGAAGGCCCTCTGCTTTAATGCGGCTCCAGCAAATCATCGGCGAATCTTTAATTAGATGTGGATGAGAGAAAATGCAAAGAAAAGAGCAGTTTGCTTTGTTGAAATCAAAATAACGTTTATTCAATAGTGATTCTTTTTTTGTTATTCACACAAAATACAACAAGTTACATTACTTTTTCAACATCATTTTCTTCGACGCGTGTGTGTGTATGTGTGAGGGCACCATGCAGTTTGAAATATTATTATTATTTTTTTTGTCTCGATAGAATTGCGGATATACATAAATAATTGCTCCGTTCGTCCTAAGTGGAACATCAATAATCGTGTGTGTATTTCTCTCATAAAATGTGATTCCTGCGTATTTGGTTTTTTGAGATCAAGTCGTATATATTATTATTTTCAACAGCATGTTCACAATGAGGCTATGAGGGATGAAATAAAAATTCGAACATAATTCATTCTACAATCAAGCGACAAAAATATTTTGAAGATCGCGCTAAGTGGTTGTTCTAAAATCGATTTCTGCGATTAGTCTGCGAAAAAGGATTTAATATCATCTCATCACTGCGCCCTGTATCAGTTCGTGCGTTTTTCGTCCTCGGTAATTGGCAGAATTTCGAAAGTCGCGGGGAAGGGTAGGTTGGGGGTTAAAATTGATCTTCAGGGTGAAATGAATGACTCACAAGTATACACACTCCTTGAATTTGAAGGGAGGTCAGTTAAATCAATCTTTGAGGTTTGAATATGAGTTTCTCAATTGTCTTGACTCGCAGATGCCTGTTTTATGCCTTTTTCTCCTGGAACAAAACATTTACCTATTATTTTATAAATTTCTAAAATTTTGGCGAATTTTTATATATTTTTTTCTCGAAAAATAATTATCTGTTAAATTTTATTTTCAATAATTTAGCCGAGTTTTAAAATGTTTTTCTTTCTCTGAAATCTATAAAATTTATGCTGATTTAAGAATATTAGGTTGATTTTGAACTTTTTATCAACCGCATGCAAAAAGCATCCAATCTACCAAAATCTGCGTTTGTTAATTTTAATATTATAATGTTACAGAAAAAAATCAAGCAATTTTTTTTCAAACTTTGATATTGATTTTGCACCATGTAATCAATTTTTTTCCATTAAAAGAGAATATTGGTGAAGAAATCAATTAACTCTCTTACCGTCGACGGATCGCTTTCCCCACACAGACGCCAATTTGTTCCAGCTGCGATCGGACCGTTTTCCCCAGAGACCCTTGAGGTTGTTCCAGGCTGGCTCTCGCTTCTTTCCCCACGACCCTGCAACACCAATTCACGTTTAACTAAGCGGGCGACGCCTGCCTGCCGGCTGATGCTGTGCCGCCGAAAACAAACGTTTAAATAAGGAATGAGCAAATTTACATTTCATTCTCTCTCACTCGCATACTCGGCAACACAAACTCATCAAAATTCTTACTTTGAGAAATGAGAAGATGCCGCAAACAACACGCGACGAAAATTACACGGAAAGTAGCAAAAACTTGAAAACACAATTACGTGCACTTTCTCATTCCACCAAGGTAAACAAAAAGTAATTATAATTAGACAAATATCAAAGTACAATTGAACAGGCACACATTAAAGTTTAATACAATTTACAAATTTAATCTTGAAATTTTGACAAAAATAATTTGTGTCATTAAAATAGGGAAAAAAATCCAAATTATTGTATTAAGTATTTTTTTACAATTACATATTGATTTAATTTTAGTTCAATTAGTTTAGTTAAAGAATGTGGTTGATTGAGTTAGAAATATAAGCAAATTTTTACATTTTTTTCTGAACTATGCCAATTAAATTGAATAATCAAAGGAAAATTATTAGGCATTTGTGAACAAAAAATTAAATAATCAACTTCGAAAATAAATTTTGTATTTTGTATAACATTTATAAAACCAAAATTGTAAGCGAAACAAACAAAAAATTGCACAAATTAAGCTAGTTGTGCGTTTTCGCATGTATAACATTAATTACAAGTTAGATAATTATGTACATTTTAACTCCATGATGTACCATAGTATGGAAAGATCAAAATTAATTCACAATAAGGTCAGGTAATAAAATTTCCCGCTCCTCTTGTTGACCGAAGTAATGAAGGAATTTGAACGAGCTGTTTGTTTGCTCGACGGACGGACCTAATGACGTTGTTGGCCGGCTTTTAATATCAATAAAAGTCGCACTCAAGAGTGTTTGTCTGTCGGCAAATTAGCGCAGCGTGTTGACCATTATTTGGCCTCGCTCACTTGGTGTGCAGTCGGGTTATTAACGCGTGCGTCCAATCGATTGCAGAAACGCGAGCGCGATATTTCACAGCTGCCATGCTCCGATAATTCAGCCGGCGGTTTAATTAAATTTTAATGCCGTATTGCGTCACATACAGAGGATGATTAGACTGGCTGGCGTTAATTATTATACGTTCGCAAATTATTCACGAGTTTAATTGATCATTTTATTCAGCTCCATTTTGCAACTAACCGCGTGGAAGAACGGCAACAAAACACAGTAATTGGCAGACGCCTGGAACAATTTCAAGCATGCAACTTGCAGAACTTGCCTGTGAAGCAGGTTGCCTGTCTAATTAAATAAAAGCCAATCAGCTTTGCTTATGAATAATTATTAATTTGAATCGAGATTATAATTATTCAGTGAGCAATTATTTGCACTGAATGTAGGAAATTAATTCAAATTGATTGAAAGGAATTATGGGTTATTAAAACTGCAATATTAAAGTTTTGTAATAGGGAAGTTAAATTAACCATGAATTAATTAACTCTCATCAATCGAGAAATATACTAGAAATAGGCTGGTTTAAATCTGGAAGAAGAAAAACTTAATTCTTCATAGTAATTGACCTTTTTTAGTCAATGTCAATAAAATTTAAAAAATCAAGTTAGATTCAAGGCAATTCCCGAATTAATTAATTCATTCATTCTTATTAAATATTGAAACTACAATCTCACACTGATCAAAGCTCTAAGAGAAATATTTGAAATGTTCTTTAAATAAACAGTACAAAAAAAAAACATGCAAAAATATAAATTAATATTTACAATTAGCTTACTTGGCAGAGCGTGTAAGAAGACACCACGAAAAGCAAGAAGCGTTCCGAATTCAACTTACTCCTACCTTTGAAGTTGTTCCAAGCCCTCTTTCCCCAGGCGCCTCTCAGGTTGTTCCAGCTGCGCTTCTGCTCCTCCTCGCTCAGGTTGTTGGTCAGGTCGGGTTCGTTGTTGCCGCTGAAGACGAGGCTGGCGAGTCGGGCGAGCTCCTCGTCGGTCAGACTGTCCAGGTTGCCGAGCAGGCCGAGGTCGTCGCCGGCGTCGTTGTCCGACCAGTACTGCTCGTCCTCCTCGGGCGTGCGTTTGCCCCAGGCGCCGTGGAACTTGTCCCAGGCCCGCTTGCCCCACACGGGTGGCATCTCGTCCCAGGCCCGTTTGCCCCAAGACCCCTTGAACTGGCCCCAGTCTCTCTTGCCCCAGGCTGAGCCCAAGTTGTTCCATGCTCGTTTGCCCCAACTGCCCTGATGATGAAAATAACAAATATATTAAGAGATGATATTTTAACCACAAGATTAGTAAAAAATAATTGTGAAATAACAAAAAAAAAAATACTTTTAGGATAAATTAATGTAATTTAAAGTAGTTGCAAAAGTACCTTGGGAAAAACAACTATTTCTTAAATACACAGACAATTTTCTCACATCAAAAAATAATTTCATCTTGATTTGTTGAAGAAACTTCCTTCAAAATGCAAATATTATATCTATTTAACTTATCTTAACAAAACATGTAAAGCAAGATATTTTAAAATATTTATTTAAAATTTACATATTTTGAGTCGTTATTAAAATTTTTTTATCATTATTTAAAGTAAAAAATTGTGTCAATAGAATCATTTTTATAGTTTATAATAATTTATTAATTAATTTTTAATTAAAAGCTTTTACAAGATTTATAAAAATAAATTAATAAAGTGACTTCTCCATACACCATATTGTATTATTTCATGATATTGAAATTGTATCATCAAAATCGTTTGTAAGACGTTATTTAACTATTCATATTTATAGAGAATTGTTAAAAAAAAAAAATTGAGCAACACAAAACTCAACGATAAAATGCCGCGATTTTCAATTGAATAATTTTGAATCAAAACCTCGTGGATAATTCCTTTTACAAAATGAAAACTATTTTCTCACACATTTTCATTCCAAATTGGAAAATATTAATTTAATATTGTAAGGAGGAAAAACATTATTTATTTGCAGTTTGAAAAATCATATTCAATTTACTAGAGAGCTTAAGTCAAGAATAATTAATGCATAAATTTGGATACTCATATTCAGAAATAGAAAAGATAAAGTAAAATCCAAAATAAATCAGCCAGAATATTTAGCAATTGTATAACAGTATCAAGAGTTATAATAAATTATCATTATTTCCTTCTGTTTTGTGTGAAAAATATACATAATATATATTTTATTTGTATCATTTTGCCATTGGCTTTTCCTGAAAATTTATTTTGACATTTACGAACACACTTTCAGGCCTCGAGGGGAATATTTTGCGCATTCATCAAACACAAAAATATTTCCCAGCTCTCGGCACGCCACATTCCTTGCTTCTTTGGAAAATACAAAACGTTGCTTTTCCACCCTTTTGTTCACTATTTACTTCTCTCTACAGCCCCGAGCACCGCTCTCAGCCTGCGAATGTTTTGAGGAACCCAAGGAAGGGATTTCCCTTACAAAATGCACCACAAATAATCAGTTTGTTTGAATGGAAAGCCGACTGACAACGTTTTCTGCCCATTTGCATGGCACGGTCGATCAAAGAGAGGTCTGTTGGTTTTCAATTAACATGAGTCAACCCATTAAAAAGGAGGATTTGGGGCTCAATCTGCTTCCCCGGGAGATTCTCCAAACCGATCGACGAGTTTACCCCAAGCACCGGAGCACGCACTCCTGCTTTGACAGTCAAATTGAAATTCAAGTTGGTGGACGAGAGATTCGTTTTTCGGTCAGGTGCGAAAAAAGATTGCTTCGATTTGCAGTAATGACGGAAACGCTTCAACACCATCCTTATTTCTGGTACTTGGAAAAGTTTGCTCCGAAGTTATTGAAAATTTTTCCATCACAAATAATAATAATGTCAGCGCTGAATTGGATACCCGAGTGGCAATAACATTTTGACGACGCAGCTTTTTATTATGCCATTTTCTGGCACTGCCTCATAAAATACAAGTGGTTCGAATTTTCTTCAAAAGGTCAAGCACGCAATGCCACGTGGGTTCGCAAAATTCACAATTAGCTCTGACGTCGCAAGGAAAAGTTCTGCACGGGTGCTATTTTAATTTGTTCCGAGCGAATGCGAAAATAACTGCCGAGTCGTTTTGCGCCAGGCTCAACGTAGATAAAATTTGATGCGTTTCTGGAGGATTGCGGTAGCGCGCCCGTCTCGCGAGAGTTTGCAAAATGTTTGCACGAACAGCAATGATTTCATTAAAAAATTCAAAACTTTAACACTATGAAAGTATAATACGCACGCATTAAATGAAATTGGATTTTCACGGTAATTTTTTGCTTGCTGAACTTTCTTGTGCGCAAAATAAGGCTTTTAAAAAGTTTTGTAATTATTAAAATTAAAGCTTCTTCATTTTTCTAAATATTATTTTTTGCTGGAAAGTTGAACTTGTATTTATTTTCATCAGCCGAGTGAAAAAAAATTATTTACTTCGGCTAAATGTTAACTTATTTATTTACATCAGCCGTGTGTTAACTACTTGTGTCGTTTGTAAATTACGTTTCAGTGAGACCAAATTTAAATTTGAAAGAGATTTTTGTTGTAACATTGAAGAGTTCAGTAATTTTTTTGAATTAAAAGTCTCTAATCTTCTTAAAATCAAAAGGATTTTTATAAAGTTCAATAAAATTTTCACCTACTCAAAATGTGTTATTATAGATGTTATAGATTTAACTTCCAATGAAAATTTAAAAACTAGCTGTTAAAAACCAAATTTATAGTTTGACTCGAACTTTGGCTACATAATTTCGCAACGTAGTAAACTGACAACTGTTGCAAGCTGCAAACGAACGAACGCTAATTACAGAAATAAACAAACGGCCACGAACGCCAACAAATAATAATGGAAAAGCTGCAAATGCAAATAAGCTCCTGAACATTTAAAAGCCTTCGTGCAACACTTGGTGCAGATTGTCACGTTTTCACACAGAGGACTTATCACCGTGTGTGCCACTTTTACTCCGTTCACCTGATTTTATATAATTCAATTAATCGTCCGTTCTGTTTAGCGTGAAAAATGGCACTGGATATTTTTATAAAGTGCTCCCGTCAACACGAATAAAAAGGATACGTTTTTTGCTGTAAATTTAGAAGTCTCTAATTACTAAAAAGGGTCTAAATGGCCAAAATTTTATTTTAAACACAAATTTCAACGAGATTTGAGGTGCTTGTGGATAACGAGGAAATTTGTGCTGCTTTATACGTGGGTAAAATTTTCAGCTTTTATTTGTTTCTGAGCATATATATGATGATGTTTACCATTCATCCCCCTTTTCCTCTCTTTTCATACAGATAATTACATTTTGTCTCTCTCGTCCGAAGCATGGCACGTAGCGTGGGTTTCAGTTTTGTGAAAAAGGTGGTGTTTGGCCAAAAGAAGAGCCACACGCACGGCTGAAAAGAGGAAGGGTTGCTTCTGCTCTAATTAAAAGAGCGCGCGAGGATTTACTTTTCATCCACGCGCTCGAGTTGCCGAGCCGGATTTGCCACTTAAAAACGCAACTTTCCATCCTTTTTTTTCATTCAATCCTGCATGTTAAATAGAAAATTGTCAAGAAGCGTGTTTTATAAATAGAATAGTGTTGTTTTTAATTAAAAATGTACAGGAATTCAAAAATATTATGTTATATTATATTATTTTTCTCATAATAAATTCCTGCCGATTAAGTATGAGAATGAAAAATATCATCTTCAATTTATGCTGAATAGATTGTTTCAAAAAACGTTTTGAATAGTCTTCATAGAAGATTTTTGCGTACAGACAATTTCAACGAAGATTTATCTCGTTGAAAATGATTAAAAAAGTCAATGGAAATGAAGAAGTCGGGCTTGTCCTCGTTGTAAAATAATTGTTTTTATTCAAAAACAAAACGCCTCATGAAATAGGGTGGTACTTGAATATTTTAGTTTTAAGATTGTAATTTCTATGTTATAATGTGGTGTGTTTTCAATTTTGCTGATTTTTTTTGTATTTTTCTTTCTCATGAACCCTGACCGAAACTGGTAGAGCCGTTTTAACATTTTTTTTTAAACCTGGACAAACCCGACTTCTTCATTTCCATGAACATCTCCTCAAGTGTCAACTTCTTCAAACAAAAAAGTCATTTTATGTTTTACAATTAAATATTAATTTTAAAAGATTTTCAGGGAAAATAATAACTTGGAAAGTTTGCTGTGGATCTTTGAATATTTTGATCGTTATGCTAATTTTGAGGTAATTACAGTGAATTACACTATAATAAAGAAAAATTCATTACACCTGTATGTCATGTCACTACGTAAACAAACATAATTTAAAAATAGCAATTGATCAAAAATGAAAAAAAAATTAATTTAGTCCCTTCCTATAAATTTAAATAAATTATCGATGGATATAAAACAATTAAAACTAAGATTTGTTTATTTTGTTTTTATGCAATTTTATGAATAAATACCTGCATGTCTTGCCAGCCTCGCTTGCCCCATCCGCTCTGCATGTCGCTCCATCCCCGTTTGTCCTCCTCCAAGGCCTGAGGTTCGCCGACGGCCGTGGCCGTCTGCTGGGCCTCTTGGAGGCTGGGGGCGGCCAACATGAGTAGCCCGAGCACGCAGCCCGCCGTCCACGCCGCTAAGTGCCTTTCAGTTGTCATAGCCGAGCCTGCAAACAAAAGGATTAGACACAATTATTCTCTGAAAAACTTTAATTCAATGTGTGTCGGGAGATGAAATTCAGGGATTACATTTTATAACAATCGTCCGTCGCGCATAAATTGCGGCGGGAATATTTGTCCTTGGGTTGGAACGTGATCCTCATGCAAATTCCGTCGCACAAACGGATAGCTCAGCTTTTTGTTTGAATTCCGCGTGCATAGTTGCGGATAATCTCCCTTTTTAGGAAGATTAAACGTGATCGAATTTGCTTTTAATGTGATTGGCATTTTGAACAGCAAAAACGTGATCAATTTTTCCGACTGAATGGGTGCAGCGATAAAAACGTCCTAATTAATCCTATCTTTTACATGAGCTGATTACGTCACTAGCGAGCAACAAAAGCTCTTTTGGAAATCATTTTCAAAATTTTGCATGCGGGTGTTTTAACAACTTTGTTGATCACCCGCACCTTGTTTCCGAATAATCCTCTTAAAATTAGTGCCCGATTGTAATCCAGCGAAACTTTTGCAAATAATCCACCTCAATGAATTTCAAATTAAGAGAGTTCCAATGGAAAGAGACACGACAAACTACGGTGATTTTAATTTTTAGACAGCGCAGAGGAAAACCGCGCTAGTCAAACAAACACACAACGTGGTCTCAACTCTTTAAACCTCATCCAGCAAACCACATTTAAAAGCGAAATAATGTTTGTGGCGCGCCTGTGATTCAGAGTTGTGCGCAACCCGCGCGACACTGTGATTTCCAGCGGACCACAGACTAACAAACCGAGTGTTTGTTTGTCCCTTGTTTCTAAAAGACTACTTCAGAGATAAAACAGTGCGCTGAATACAGAATTGTACCAGTCAAATTTAAAATATTTAAAAGTCTGCAGCTTAAAGGAAAAAAATGGAATATATCAGTTTTTATTTCATAATAATACAAACTGTCTTAATACATGGATATTACAAATATTATACGTTATTACATATCCATTATATTTAAGTTCTTGGACTTGGAGGATGAAACCTCATACCTTGGTTTTCATCAATATGAATATTGTATTATTTAACAGATCCAAATAAAATCTACGAAGAAAATTACTTTTAGCAAAATACAGTATTTGATCTTCATAAAAAAAAAAATAAAAAAAATTTTAATAATATAATAAAGTTGTTTAGCAAATATTTTTAAAATATTTAAACTAATTAAATTTTCAAAAAGAGTGTAAAATTAAAACTTTTAATTTTATTACCAACTCTTTAGTAATAATTTTTTTTCATCTTAATCAAAACAGTGCACATATTTTTTTTTAACTAAACTAGATTAAAAAAATTTACAATAACATTTATTCATTTATTGTATTTAATTGATTTAACTTTCAATGAAAATCTTTGAAAGTATAATGAATTAATTAAGATGCAGGATATTTTTATTCAAAAAACCAAAATCTACCAAAGCAGACTTTGGTTGGACTTCAAGGACTTTTAGCCGCTCAATCTCCCACGCCTCTAAGTGTATTTCCCCTTTTTGTTTGCGGTGCGGAAAACTCGTAAATAAAAGTCATTCTCTCGTGCTTTTAGCGGCGCAATACAGAGAAATACTTTTATCGAAGATAATGCGCAGACTTTGAGGGCGAGAGGATGTACGGCCGCGTGATGTTTGCTCGTCTCGAGTAATGGACTCGCGCGCCGCCGTCTGTGTGTCTATTTCGCCTCTTTCGTGGTCAGGCGCACTCTAAGTGAGAGAGACCGAGAAAGATGCACTTCAGACGTGTGCGCCGGGTTATTAGTGTGTCTTTAGCAGAATAATATACAAACAGTACAGAGAAAAACAAACAAGAAAAACGTTCTGTAAAGTAAAGTGCATAAACAATTTTACCGACTGATGGTCTTGAGTTGCTTTATATTAATAATAATTTTTTTTCAAAGTTATCAAAACCTTCCTCGAATAACTGGTATGATTTTATAAGTTTAAAAAGCAATCCTGGTTATGAGAAGTCATTTGCCCCAATTTGGAGTTTTTTAATATTTATAAAGATCACTTAACATTTTCTACTCACAATCAATGAAAAAATTGAAATTTCTAAGTGTATAAATTTAAATTTTGCTTTTCTGGTTTCCCACCACGGTTTCCGTAAAAGATAACAAAAATTTGTGGCAAAATATTATTAATTATTTGAAGCAAAAAAGGAATTAAAAAAGTTTGATTTGAATCTTTCAACTACTATCATTTATCATATGTATTAATTACTATAAAATTTTTTTAGTCTCAATCACTATCATTTTTTAATTTTGAAGCCCAAAATAATTTTATTTTCAATTAAAAACTTCTTCTGGTTTTCCCATTATTAATCAAAAGACTGACAATATACCAATTTTATCCCACTTTCATAAATAATTATCTTGAAATTACCGCAAGAAAATATTTTCTTAATTTTCTTTAACTTGTCTCATTTTCTTCTCATGATAAACACAAATTAGGGCCAACCGCATCCATCCGACTCTGTTAAAAACATGCGGGCGCGAGGAGAAAATCATTAAAAAATGTAATGTTTGGCAGCGCATCTTGCGCTCTTCTTGCAAACACGCGTGGCTGGGCTCTCATTCGATTAGGGCCGAGCGCTGATGAGGGTTAATGGAATAAAGATGCGATTAACTTAAGAAGACATTTAACACTCGGCAGCGACGAGTGCGTGCGGCGGAGGCACAAGGACGGGGTTGGTGGACGGGCAGGGAGGGCGGCGGGTGACCGCAGGCAGTGACTGGGTAATGAGCCGGAGACAACCTGAGGATCATTAGCACCAAGAGAGCAGAGTTGGAGTGAAAACAGAGCTGCCTGACTTGCTCCGCTGCTAAAACCGCTACGAGTCAAGCGGTTAAACCAATACACTTTTAACCAAGCAAATTTTATTTTCTTTTTTTCTTTGAGAGAGCAAATGAATTTAAATCTAGGAAAAGTTTGAAAGTATGATATTTCTAAATGAACAAATCCAGTGAAAAATAATCTGCATGTTAAATAGCAAAGTGGGGGTTTAGGGATCGCAAAAATTTTTTAATTGTGAAAGGAAAACCATTAAATTTAATCAAATTTGATCTAGCTGATCCATCGAACTACTGCGAACTATTATGATTAATGAGAATTTTATTGAAAACGTTTCTGCATATTTTCAACTTTTGGAAAAGAAATATTAAATAAATTTATAGGCATTTGCATAAATTACATTTTTTATAGAGAAATAAATTGAAAGGGTATTAATTTTTTCTCATGTTTTTTTTAATTATTTGATTTTTAGAAATTAATATGAATCAAGAATATTATTATTCATTAATCGGATCAAAATTTATAAACCTAAAAATGCGGAAAAACGTGGATTTTGCCAAAATGTATTGACGTTGGGTCCAAATTTGGTATAGGCTTACAGCAAAAAGAAATATTTTTCCTGCTCCGAGCATAATTTCATTCTGTTATTCAACTGCCTTCAATCCATGCCATATTTTGCATAGGGCACCAATATAACAACATGTCAAAGACATAATCAAATTATTTGTTTGTTAAAATTTTAAAGATGGATCAACACTTTATAATTAAAGCTATTGGGGAAATGAAATAAATAAGAAAAAAAATCATACAACAGTAAATCAGAGTAATGAAAACTTTCTTAATGTTTATAGCTATGCTTGATGAATGTAATTTGGGAAAATTGTTATTTAAAAAGAAGCACAAAGTCATAATAAAACCCTATTAATATTTTGAATGGTAAAGCAACACTGCTTTCAGATTGGATTTAGGGATCCACCTTTTGCTCGTCTACCGCCTTATTCATGCTTTGGAGCTTTCAGTGCTTTCGCGATTGCAAAACCCCTGCTCTGCTCATTCAAATTGCAAACAACCGTTTTGATATGCATCGAAATCCAATGCCGAAACAAAGGATTTCTGGCGCTCAGGAAGAAGCATATCTGCATTATTGTAAACCGCCGACGTTGTGGGAAACATCCGCGTGTCGCACAGGCTGCATTCTACAGGCGCAAGTATGTCAAGCACGCTCTTTGTGCTCCCCTAGCTGCTTGTGTGCTATAATAAGCAGATGCGCACATTAATATGTTCACTATATCATACACCTATGCAGTGCTCCTGCTTTCAATCTGTGTAGCGCGCATTGCATACTTAGCGTGAGCCTCGCATACGCGTGGGAGCGACAGGAATCGTTTTCGAAAGCGACCCACCGCGAAATTGAGGATTTTGCCTCTAATAATAATGTTATGTAAATTAATGTAATAGCCCTTAATTTATAATTTAATTTATTTCATTAAAGTGAACGTAACTTTTATTTAAAATTAGTTTCACTTAATATTGAAAAAAAAACAGATATTGAAAAGTTTAAAGCCGCGGTTAAAAAAAAAAAGTGTAAATAATAATTTTTCAGTTAGAAACTTAAATGATACATTTGAACTTATTATGCGGGTCAGATCAATTATTTTAATTTATCTCTAAACAAATTAATTTTCAATTAAATTATGATTGAATAATTTGCAAACCCTCAATTCTGAAATTAGTCCAAAACAATTTTAAATTATAAGGTTTCATGACTTTTTTTAATTAGTAAAAACGGCACATTATGCATCAAACCCGCAAAAATATACAGGACAATTGAAACAATGTCCTTGTGGGAAATCTAAATAGAATATTATCTATTCCAAGAAATGAAACACTCCCCTTACATTCTTAATTAAAAAAAAGAAAAGACTTCCCAAAGAATTACTTCGCACTTTTAGGGGTTGAGAAAGTGCAAAGTAGATTTTTGGGAATTATTCTCTTTTTTTAATTAAGAATATTATCTAATTTTAAATAAGCTCCTTTCTAAAGGTAGAGACAGTGCATTTCCTTATTTGTGTGTGTTGTTGGTGGAGAAAAGTACACACAACACGTGCACATTTCCACATCAAAGCCGAGTGCACCACATTGTTATAACGAACGACCGCTCAGTGCAATTGGCTTTCTGTTGCA